AATAATAATTTAAATTTAATACATATATATTGATATTTTCAAATATTATAATTAATTATAAAATGATAAAATTAATTAAATATAAAATATTTATGTGGCTTTAACAAATATAGAAAATAATCAAAGTCGCATAAAAATAGAATTATAACTTGATATATGGGATGTACAACTTCAACATTATTCTAATTTTCATGAAATTTAAGATATTTGTTGTATACAAATGATAAACTGAATCTTATCAAAAAGAGAAAAATGATAAAACTCAATTTTAATTTGATGAAGAAACACTCATAATTTTAATTAACTAATATGTGACAAATTTACGTGTCTCAATAAAAGGTTTCCCCCTTTTTTTTGGCAATTTTTCTAACTAAAAATGTGAATAAAACGTCAATTACACGAAGAGAGGAAGGGGTAGAAGGCCGAGGAGGGTCTCCTGTTATTGGCAGGCATATAAGCATTTTGAACCTGAGAGGAAAATGAATACTAAGCGTGCATATCAACCATTTGATTAATAGTTTCTGCAACTATATAAACTTCAGGATGTACTTGAACACAAGACAAAACCTAAAGTGTTCAACAAAGACAGTAGCGCCAAGCTAACACAACATAATAGCATCCATACTACATCCAGCCACTAGACAGATATTATGAGCATATTATTCAAATACTTCTAATAGTAGCTGCCCTTAGTGCTATAGCTGGTTTTGATGATGGCGCTGGCCTTCGTGCTGGAGCTGACCTTGCTTCCCTTGGTGCTATAGCCGGTCTTTATGCTAGCAGTGGCCTTAATGCCCTTCGTGCTGGAGCTGCCTTTGGCACTGGCGCTGGCCTTGATGCTGTTTTTCCCCTTGCTGCTGGTGCTGGCCTTGATGCCCTTGCCCCCAGAGTTGCCCTTCCTGCTGTTATTGCCATCATAATCAACCCGTCGATACCTCTCTTGAACCTGGTATTCAGAATAGCCACTTTTGTCCCCAACCCTGCAAGTTTTGGTAGTTGTGTAATCATTCTTGACACCAGCCCTTCCTGTTGGTCTCTCCTTGAAAGTATCTCCCGTAGAGATAACCTCTTTGGTTGTTGATCGGGCATAGATACCGGTCTGCTTGTCCACACAAGAAGCCTTTGCAGTCCTTTGATAAGAGTTGGAACTGCCAGATTGTTTTCTTCTCGGCCCCGCATAACAGGTGATGTCATTCTGCTTTCCACTATAGCTTTGAGTTGGTGTCGCAACTTGGGCGTATCCCATATAAGCAAAAACAGCTTTAGATGACTTGTCAGCCATTGAGATCCCTTCCTCAGAAACACTAGCAAAACCAAAAAGGAAAGGGATTAAGTTAGAATGGGAAGCACAAATGGCTTCAAACCCGGGCTTGAATACGTCAGAGACATTGCAAACTAACATTTCTGCATACAAGAACCTCAGAACCTAACCAACAAATAAAGCATGCACCACCGAATCGATGAATTGAAATCAACATTAACTTGTTTAAGGAGCTTGAGGACAAAACTCTAAACATGATTTGGATAGTCAAAAGAAATTGATAGATGTGAAAAGAATAAATCAAACAAAGATACAATA